AGAGGGGAGGCACGCGGGGCTCCCCGCAACTCCCAGCCATGCGCACGCGCGTGCAAACACGGCAGTGTGTGAGAGCAGGGCCGGGCAGCTGCGTGCAGAGGTATCTGTGCACGCAAGCAGCTCTGTGCGTGTGTGCGTGAATGCAGGTAACATGCCCACGTGTTCGCAACCCTATGTGTGCATGCGAGTTTGTGTGCGCCCCCGTATTGGTGCGTGCGAGCCTCTCGTGTGTGTGTCGAGCAAGTCTGCCTGTGTGTCTGCACGCGTGTCTATGAATACACTGCACACTGTCACTGTGCCTTTGCAGGTGACCCTGACCCGTGTGTATCTGCGCACGAGCATGCTTGCTTGCACGTGTCTCAATGTGTTTGCGCAGGTGTGCCTGGGATGGGGAGGACATGCGTGGGTGCAGGAGGGCCCTGCAGCAGGGGAGCACCGGGGACGTGGGGCCTGTTTGGTGGGAGTTGGAGGAGCCTGTTAGGAGCTAGGCTGCGTGAGCAGATCCCTTAGAATTAGAAAGAGTGGAGTGTGTCTCAAGTCCTGGGCTGCCATCAGGAGGATTCAGCTCAAGCAGGTCCCTGGGCCTCCGGGTCACCCCAGCTCCCTCCCAGGCTGAAGCCCTTGTGCTGGGGTAACTCTGAACAGTGCCGTGAGAAGTCAGAGCGCAGGGGTTGGGCCAGGGGCTGGGAATCATGTTTTCTGGCTCCGTCCCAGCTCTGACCTTCAGGAGCTCCTTCCCCGGTGGCTGCCTCCGTTTCCCAACAGTGGGCAGCTCTCATGGTCCTGGCTGCATGGACGTGGCTTTGGAGGACCAGGTCATGGATAATCCTGGGGGAGGCTGGGTCGTTCATGTGCGTAAGGGAGGCGGATCTGTTCCCAAGCCGTCCCCTCCCTGCCACTGTCCCAGTTCCACCTCTTGAAGGCTGGATGCCACAGGAGCCAAAAATGCAGACAGAGGAAGGTGGAAAACAGAGCCAGGGCAGGGGCAGGAAAGGTCTTGGCAGTCAGAGAGTGTCACCCGGTCGGCGTGTGCGGGAGTGACTCCTCTGCACCTCCCAAGCACCCTGCCTGACTAAGGAGCGGGGACGATGGTTTTGGGGAGTGCCAACTCCTGCTACTGCTCTGTGCCGGCCCAGAGCTGGCAGAGCCAAATGCTTTCCCTTTGCACCTGGGGAAGGTCCTGGCACAGCCCGGCGATGCCCTCCACCAGGCAGGCAGC